AGCAGCAGCAGCAGCATTTGGGCTGTAGGCGCTCCATAGCGGAGTTCCTTCTGTGGGAAACTGCTGCTGCTTGCAGCAGCAGCAGCAGCAGCAGCAGCAGCAGCAACAGTAGCAGCAACAGCAGCAACAGCAGCAGCAGCAACAGCAGCAGCAGCAACAGCAACAGCAGCAGCAGCAACAGCAGCAAGAGCAGCACAGCAGCAGTGGCAGCAGCAGGGGAGACGATAGCGGGCTCTCTGGTGTATGTGCGGGGCTGCTTGCTGTCGCTGATGCATGCAGTTCTGCTGCTGTCTTGCTGCAGCATCGAGGAGCAGCAGCAGCTGCTGCAGCAGGAGCAGCAGCAGCTGCTGCAGCAGTTTAAAAAGCTAACTACATACGGCTGCAGCAGCAGCACGCAGCAGCTGCAGCAGCTGCAGCAGCTGCAGCAGCAGATGCAACAACTGCAGCAGAAGCAGCAACTGCAGCAGCAGCAGCAGCACCGGCTCTGGAGGTCTGTGCCTGCAGCAGAACTGCAGCACTGCATCGTTGCTGCAGCAGCAAGCAGCAGCAGCAGCTGCAGCAGCAGCAGCAGCAGCAGCAGCAGCAGCAGCAGCCGCTGCTCACCGTTCTTGTCTCCTGCTGAGCTGCTGCTAGGAGGGGCGCCCACCAGCACGCTGCATCAGCAGCTGCAGCAGACGCAGCAGCAGCAGCAACAGCAGCAGACAGAGCTGCTGGGTTTTGGGCTGTGGCAGCATCTTCGTACTGCTGTTGATTCTGTTGCTGCTGCACTGCAGCAGCAACAGCAGCAGCAGCAACAGCAGCAGCAGCAGCAGCAGGAACAGCAGCAGCAACAATACCAATCGCATGAGAAAAGGGCAGCAGCAGCAGCAGCAGCAGAAGCAGCAGCAACTGCAGCAGTTGTGCTGCAGCAGCAGCTTCAGCAAAGCCGGGGCCCCTTGGGGTGTACAGGCAGCTGTCTCTGTCTGCTGCAGCAACAGCAAGCAGCAGCACTAGCAGCAACAGCAGCAGCAGCAGCAACGCCAACAGCAGCAGCACCAGCAGTAACAGCATCCGCAGCAACAGCAGCAGCAGCAGCAACAGCAGCAGCAGCAAGGAGCTGCTGCTGCTGCTGCTTGCCGCTGCTGCCGTCTGTGTGGGGGTTGCTGCAGCTATGGGGCCAACTGAGATACCAGCAGCAGCAGCAGCAGCAGCAGCAACGACAGCTGCAGCAGCAGCTGCTGCTGCTGCTCAAACTTCAACACGCCAGCCAGGGTAGCAGCAGAAGGATCACCACCGCAGGCAGCAGCAACAGCAGCAACAGCAACAGCAGCAGCAGCAGCAGCAGCAGCAGCAGCAGTAGTAGCAGCAACACCAGCAGCAGCAGCAGCAACAGCAGCAGCAGCAGCAGCAGCAGCAACAGCAGCAATTCTGCTGAACGGCTTCCCTCTACGTTAATGGCGTTGGCCTTCGGGAGGGTGCGAGCTGCTGCAGTGCAGCTGCAGCAGCAAACTGCAGCAGCAGCAGCAGCAGCAACAGCGGCTGAGTGCTGCTGCAGCAGCAGCAGCAGCAACAGCAGCAGCAGCAGCAGCAGCAGATGGCAGCTGCTGCGGGTTGCTGCTTCTCGGTACCGTCTCTGTGCTGAGCTGAGTGCAGCAACGGCCGGCCTTCGCCTGCAGCAGCAGCAAACAGCAGCAGCAGCAGCAGCAGCAGCAGCAGCACGTCCTGCATCGATTCTGCTGCAGCAGCATATCAAGCCAGTTGTGCTGCAGTGCATGCATTCCCTCGGAGGGTCTTCAACTCCTTGCTGCTGTGCTGCTGCTGCTGCTGCTGCTGCGCATGCAGCCTGCTGCTTGCTGGCAGCAGCAGCAGAATTCATTTCGGCTTTGCTGCTGCAGACAGCAGCAGCAGAGCCTCGTGCTGCGCTGCTGCTGCTGCGCTCTCTCCAGCTGCGGCAGCTCCACAGCCAACACATGCAGCAGCAGCAGCAGCAGCAGCAGCAGCAGCAGCAACAAGAGCAAAATCAGCAGCTGCAACAGCAGCAGCAGCAGCAACAGCAGCAGCAGCAGCAGCAGCACGGGAGTTGTGTTTTGCTGCGGCCCAGCAGCAGCTCATCATTAACAGCAGCAGCAACAGCAACAGCAGCGCCTCCTGCTGCTGCTGCTGCTGCTGCTGCTGCTATTAGTGGTTGTTTTAGCTGCTGCTTGGCTCAGGGCGGGTTTCTTCTCCTTCGGGATAGAAAACTAGAGAGGGATGTTGCTGCTGCTGCTGCTGAGTT